AATAATTTTCAAATTATTATTTTTTATTTGTCCTAAGACATTTAAAATCATTTAATAACTATCCTTTTATGATTATTTGTTCAATTTATATTTTATTTATATTCTTTTAAAAATTTTCATTATTAAAAGGAAAGTAACTTAAAACAGGATAAATCAAGGGAAGTAACCCAATAAATACACAGTTTTTGTTACACAACGGCAGTTAGCCTGAGGTAAAAATCGTTGATTACCTGTATGTTTGACACCCAAGCTGACAAGTGAAGCCATATAATTATGCATGTTAATTGATTTACAGGTAAAATATAACTTCAGGTAATGTCAGTTACACCAGATGCCTGAGATGATATGTTGGGCAGAAATTTTTCATTCATGAAAAATTTCATACACGGGATTTTTTCCTCTTCAACGGGAGGTCGGGAGGAGACCCCTGAAAACGGGATTATTGTACTCCCGTCGGGAGGTTCACATGTATGCCTATTCAAACCATATCATTATTATTTGCTTTTATATATAAATCAGAAATAACCAATTTAAAATGGAAAATGTTAAAGAAAAAAAAGGAAAAAAAAATCCCCCCCCAATTTTTTGAACCCCCTTATGATTCATCACCCCCAAACTCAATCCCAGCTTTCCCTTTGTGGTATGGTACCTTGCAGTACAATTTCAGAGAGATTCATACACTTGAACACAAGTTATTGTCTGAAAACTAGAAAAATGCTTGTTTTTTGGCCCCTTTTTGGCCCCAAATTCCTAAACCTTTACGGCAATTACCCCCAAACTCAATTCCAGCTTTCCCTTTGTGATATGGAACCTTGCAGTACAATTTCATAAAGATCCATACACTTACACACAAGTTATTGTCCTGAAACTAGAAAAATGCATGTTTTTTTTGCCCTTTTATGGCCCCTAATTACTAAAATTTTGAGGGAAAACCCCCAAAATCAATCCCAGCCTTCCCTTTGTGATATGGAACCTTGTAGTACAATTTCATAAAGATCCATACACTTACAAACAAGTTATTGTCATGAAACTAGAAAAATGCTTGTTTTTTGCCCCTTTTTGGCCCCTAATTCCTAAAATTTGGAGGAAATTACCCCAAAAATCAATCCCAGTATTCCTTTTGTGATATGGAACCTTGTACATGGTAGTACAATTTCATAAAGATCCATACACTTACAAACAAGATATTGTCATGGTCGTATAAAAATGCTTGTTTTTTGCCCCTTTTTGGCCCCCAATTCCTAAAATTTGGAGGCAATTACCCCCAAAATCAATCCCAGCATTCCCTTTGTGATATGGAACCTTGTGGTACAATGTCAGAGAGATCCATACACTTACACACAAGTTATGTCTGGAAGTTACAAAAATGCTTATTTTTGGCCCCTTTTGGCCCCTAATTCCTTAACTGTTAGTACCATAACCCCCAAAATCAATCCCCACCTTCCTTTTGTGGTATTGAACCTTATGGTAAAATTTCATTGAGATCCATTCACTTAAACTAAAGTTAGAGTGCGAAAACTAATGTGTATTCGGACGACGACGCCGGACAACGACGACGCCGGACGACGACGACGACGACGACGACGCCAACGTCATACCAATATACGACCACAAAAATTTTTTTGCGGTCGTATAATAAAATGCTCCGCAGGGCGCAGCTTGATACGACCGCAGAGGTCGAACCCTGAACAGTTGGGGCAAGTATGGACACAACATTCAAGCTTGATACAGCTTTGCATTTGGATTGTGATTAAATATTTGACACAGCATAGGTTTCTGACACAGAATGAATGTGGTCTAAGAACTTAAAAATTTTAAATTGGACATTCACCTATTATGGTCCAATATCCAAAATCTAAATACATGGTTAGATTCAGCATATCAAAGAACCCCAAGAATTCAATTTTTGATGAAATCAAACAAAGTTTAATTTTGGACCCTTTTGACCTCAATGTGGACAAAGTTGATAACGGGGCCCAAAAATCAAAAATCTAAATACATGGTTAGATTCAGCATATCAAAGAACCCCATATATTCAATTTTTGTTGAAATCAAACAAAGTTTAATTTTGGACCCCGATTTGGACCAACTTGAAAACTGGGCCCATAATCAAAAATCTAAATACATGTTTAGATTCAGCATATCAAAGAACCCTAAGAATTCAATTTTTGTTAAAATCAAACTAAGTTTAATTTTGGACCCTTTGGACCTCAATGTGGACCAATTTAAAAAGGTGCCCAAAATCCAAAAACTAAATACACGGTTAGATTCAGCATATTAAAGAACCCCAAGAATTCAAGAATAAAACCCCATTGAAATTGGTCAAGAAATAAGCAATTTATACGAAGTATCTTCTTTTGCACAATACTGTGCAATTAAATATTTCTTGCTATTGCGCAATACTGTACTATTGACAATTTCTTGCTATTGCGCAATATTGTGCTATTGGATATTTCTTGCTATTGTGCAATACTGTGCAATTGAAGATTTCTGGCTATTGCGCAATACTGTGCAATTGAAGATTTCTTGCTATTGTGCAATACTGTGCAATTGAAAATTTCTTGCTATTGCACAATACTTATTATATAATAATTTACACATCCTGTTTGGTGTGTATCTCCTACCATATCATTATTATTTGCTTTTAAATATAAATCAGAAATAACCAACTTAAAATGGAAAATTTTAAAAGAAAAAACTAGAGGCTCTAAAGAGCCTGTGTCGCTCACCTTGGTCTATGTGCATATTAAACAAAGGACACAGATGGATTCATGACAAAATTGTGTTTTGGTGATGGTGATGTGTTTGTAGATCTTACTTAACTGAATATTCTTGCTCCTTACTATTATCTCTATCTATAATGAACTTGGCCCGGTAGTTACAGTGGAAAATACTTTTAAAAATTTACAAAAATTTACAAAATTTATGAAAATTGTAAAAAATTGACTATAAAGGGCAATAACTCCTTAAGGGGTCAATTGACAATTTTGGTCAAATTTCAGGGCAGATAGATCTTGACCTAATGAACAATTTTATACTCATCAGATTTGCTCTAAATGCTTTGGTTTCAGAGATATGAGCCAAAAACTGCATTTTACCCTATGTACTATTTTTTAGCCATGTCGGCCATCTTGGTTCGCGGGATGGGGTCATTGGACACATTTTTTAAACTAGATACCCTAATGATGATTGTGGACAAGTTTGGTTAAATTTGTCTTAGTAGTTTCAGAGGAGAAGATTTTTGTAAAAGATTACAAAAATTTACGAAAAATGGTTAAAAATTGACTATAAAGGGCAATAACTCCTTAAGGTGTCAACTGACCATTTTGGTCAAGTTGACTTATTTGTAGATCTTACTTTGCTGAACATTATTGCTGTTTACAGTTTACCTCTATCTATAATAATATTCAAGATAATAACCAAAAACTGCAAAATTTCCTTAAAATTACCAATTCAGGGGCAGCAACCCAACAACGGGTTGTCCGATTCATCTGAAAATTTCAGGGCAGATAGATCTTGACCTGATAAACAATTTTACCCCATGTCAGATTTGCTCTAAATGCTTTGGTTTCAGAGATAAGCCAAAATCTACATTTTACCCCTATGTTCTATTTTTAGCCATAGCGGCCATCTTTGTTGGTTGGCCGGGTCACCGGACACATTTTTTAAACTAGATACCCCAATAATGATTGTGGCCAAGTTTGGTCAAATTTGGCCCAGTAGTTTCAGAGGAGAAGATTTTTGTAAAAGTTTACGGACGACGGACGCAAAGTGATGAGAAAAGCTCACTTGACCTTTCAGGTCAGGTGAGCTAAAAAAGGGAAAAAAGAAAAAAAAGGAAAAAAAAAAAAAATCCCCCCCCCCCCCCCAAATTTTTTGAACCCCCTTATGATTCATCACCCCAAACTCAATCCCAGCCTTCCCTTTGTGGTATGGTACCTTGCAGTACAATTTCAGAGAGATCCATACACTTGTCAACACAAGTTATTGTCTGGAAACTAGAAAAATGTGTTTTTTGCCCCTTTTTGGCCCCTAATTCCTAAAATATTGAGGCAATTACCCCCATCATCAATCCAAGCCTTCCCTTTGTGGTATGGTACCTTGCAGTACAATTTCAGAGAGATCCATACACTTGAACACAAGTTATTGTCATGAAACTAGAAAAATGCTTGTTTTTTGCCCCTTTTTTGGCCCCTAATTCCTAAAATTTTGAGGCAATTACCCCCAAAATCAATCCCAGCATTCCTTTTGTGATATGGAACCTTGTGGTACAATGTCAGAGAGATCCATACACTAACACACAAGTTATGTCTGGAAATTACAAAAATGCTTATTTTTGGCCCCTAATTCCTTTACTGTTGGTACCATAACCCCCAAAATCAATCCCAACCTTCCTTTTGTGGTATTGAACCTTGTGGTAAAATTTCATAGAAATCCATTCACTTAAACTAAAGTTAGAGTGCGAAAACCAATGTGTCTTCGGACGACGCCAGACGCCAGACGACGACGCCAACGTCATACCAATATACGACCACTAAAATTTTTTTGTGGTCGTATAAAAAATATATAGTTACATGTGTAGATCAGGTACAAAGGGAACATTAAATCATCTGATGCCACATTTTCAAATGGTTCATTAATTTTGAGCAATGTGTCAATAACATTGCTCCTCGTCTCTTAGTTTCATTGTTTATCTATGGTCAGCATTTGCAGGATGGAAATTGCTTGTGAATTTTATAGAATCTGAAGTTCAGGCTGAATCTAGCAAAGTAGCCCATAGCTGATTTGTAATACTCTTTTGGTTGTAGCTTCCCATGGTTTTATAAATATTATTGTTTCCAAACTAATGGTTGTGTGTGTGTCTGTTGAAGTTTTATCCAGATAAATTCTCTCAATCGACAAATTTCATATATTTGATTTTGGTCATGGAAAGTACTACAAATTTCATATAGATTGATTTGCTGAATTTTTTGGGAAGCAAATTAACAATTAAATATTAATAGTAATAAACAAATTTATTAACATGTACTAACAATGCCAACAGATAGGAGATACAACTTTGAAAACTTAACAATACAAAACAAGTGCATGTTTTAAACAGAATTTACAGTGAGTACAACAAAATCTTTTAAGTTTAAATTATGAAGTCAACTTGTCAATTTTATTAAATTCTGCACTGAATGGAAAACTACACTTTATATTTTTATAAAATGAATAATAGAATGAATTATTTAGCTGAATGGCTGCTGTACCTGAGAAACTTTAATTTTGTCAGTCTTTAATGATCAATGTGTGACATGTTCTATCATATTCTAAATTTTGTCACTTACATATTGCTAAAAAATGCACATCGTTATATATATATATATGTACAGAAATAACACATGAAGCAATTTTTTATATATTTTTTTTATCACTGCAAGTTTTGATCTGATTCATCATTTGTCAGTTAAATTGTATATAGAGTTTCTTAACAGTTATCACTTATTCAAAAGTTTGTTCTTTTTTTTTTGTCATTTGTCGTTACATGTTTAGTAAACTTTGCATAAAAAATTTCCACTAGATCAATATGACAATACTATTTTCAACTATAACTGACAATTTCTAAATCAACTTTTGACCATTTGTCTTACATTGTGTGTATTCTCAACATCCTCGTTAATGATGTCTGAACCGATCATTAAACAACGATAACCTTCCCATCATGCAACAGTATTTCTGATCAAGTCTATTAACCAAAGTTTGTGTTCAGATTTGTGTTACTTAATAACAGTCCAATCCAACCAAGATATGAGATTACAATGTTATACAGGCCCTGAATAGTCCAGACCTTAACCAAACTTTATTTGTTTTCAATACATCACAAACAGTTTAAAAATCTATCTTCTACTAACTTTAAGCTAACAAAAGTACATGCTTTATTTTTCAAAATATCACTTGCTTTTTTTTTTTTTTAAGTCTTTTTTCTTTTTTTATATATTTTTTTATATTGTTTTTAATTTTTTATATTTTTTTTAGTTTATTTTCGATTTTTTTTAATTTTTTTTTTAATTTTTATTTTCAATTTTTCTTCAAAATGATCAAATCATATATATAAACTACCACTGAAGACTTCTGAATTTAAATACTTTCATGTTCTCAGAACCCATAGATATATAGCTTCTCCAATTTTATCTTCAGAACAAATAGTTATACAAATTCTCAAATGAAAAACTGTTTCAATATTATTTCTTTTGTTATGAGTTCATGATTTAAACCATAGACTATAGTTATAAAGAAAGAAAACATTGTGTTAGGCAGTAAGAAAATGAACACTATGTCATAAAATAACAAAAAATTACAATGAAGACATGATGAAAATGAAGAAAAAATAATGAATCATAAATGTTTTTACATAAATGAAAATGTAGACAAAAAGATTAATTTTATATACAATTAAACATTAAACATTCATTGTTAAAATATTTAGGATACTTTCCTATAAGTTTCCACGGTAACAGGTTAATAGATAAATCTCTATGCTCTGGTACTTTTTGGTAACTAACAGGCATATAGGAATAGAGGAAAAGAAAAAAGTCTAACGGAATCTATCTAAAATATATGATAGGAAGCAATGTCATAATAATTTCCTTAAATTAAGAGAAATAAAATATAACAATATAAAATCTTTCTAAAAAAAATCTAGCTGTCCATGATTTTCAAATGAAATATAAAAAAAATACCCGTATATGTCAACACTTTATATTCCACAATAAAAGAAATGAAGTGAGATTTTTATTTCAAAATTTGTAAATGATTCAATAAAATCTTTTACAGTAATAACCTTCTCTTTCAATTCCTTACTGACAATTTTTGTATAAAAAAGGAAAAAAAAGGGGGGTGTATACCAAATGTTTGGAAATTTAATTTAAATATATAAATTAATGATATACATTCTAAAAATTTAACTGAAAAACAAATGTGAGGGGGATAGACAGATTATTGAAGTGTTCATTATTGGAATAAATAACCTAATATAATGAGGTCTGAACAAAGTAAACTTATAATCAGTACACTAACTTCTGACAAAAGGAACCTTTAAAGAATGTAATCTGAACCAAGTTACTTTATAAGCATTACACTTAACTTATAAATTTACAATACATTACATAAATACAATATACTCTATAAAACTTTTGACCTATTATATTCTAGATTTTGACTATCAAATTTCCACGTTTTTTTATATAAAAAAAAAAAGCAAAATAGTTCTAAAATTGCAAATAATGTGTCAGATTTTGAAAGCAAGTTACAAAGTCAACAAAGCCCTATTATACAGCCTAAAATATGAAATATTGTTAATATTAGATTAGTTATGAAATGAATTTTATTTAAATCTTAATCTGGCCTCTTTTTCAGATTTGTTCATTTTTTCGAAAATTAATGGCAATAACGATGCATGACTAAGGGTGAAAGGTATACAATCAAGGTAGTACTGTTAACCTATACTAGCTGTCAGGCCAAACAAAATATGTGTTTCCTGCCTCTCAACCAACTGAAACCTGAAGATTTTATTACCTCTCCAAAATATTATTCAAGAAATAAAGTTTTGAGTCATTTCAGTAGACATTGAATCCTATTTCTGGTGGATTATTCAGTAAAATTTGTAATAAGATTGACTTGAATCAAGTGAAGAAGGTTGTCATAACATTGGAAATTACAAATAAACCACCTTCCATAAGCCAATAACCGAACGATTTGTGTAAATCCTGATCAGATTTGTAGAAAACATGTAATTTTTCAGATTTGGCTGTGCAAAAAAAAAAATTATGTCAAAAAAAAAAAGAACAATAACCGACCAACACTATTTACTGGAGGCAGAAAACAGACATATATTTTTTTTAACCAAAGAACTGTTAGCCTATTATACAATCTGTTCAATATATGAAATTAAACATTGAACAGGAATGCCCATTGAAATATTAATCATGATAATGTCTGCTGCAGTTAATGATCAATGTATTAAAACGTCTTCATGATGTGGAATTCAGTTTTTGCTGGGCATCTTCTAGAGACTTCTTTAACTGTGCATTTTCTTTCTTGAGTTTTTGAACTTCGGCTGTCAGTGTATTATTACATTTCTCTAAGTAACATGCTCGCATGGCTATTTGATTTTCCTTCACACGTCGCGCGTCTCTTGAGCGTTTAGCTGCTACGTTGTTCTTCTTCCTACGACACCAGTATTTGTCATCTTTTTGTTCGTCAGGAACAAACACCTAAAATTAAAAATAAAATAAAATTCAATTAGGACTCTGCATCAACAGAGAGAATCTACCTTACTGTTCCCATGCACCGATTGGTTATAATAGTCAATTTTTGATTTTTTTCATACTTTGTTATGTTGGGGTTTTATCAAGCTTACAATATGGTTTTGCTCATTGTTGAATACAGTACTGTGCCTAATAGTTGTTTACACAACCTTTGGTCACTGGTGGAAAATGGGCTCATAATTGACTACAGACCATATTTGCTTTTGTTAAATTCCCTAAGTTATAAAAGTAAGTACCTAAACAATATTTTATTCATATATTTCTCTTAGGCAATTTAAAATTGATCTCTTAGAACATGTAGAATTTCTTTAGCCGCATCATTGAATATTTCATTAATGGTCTGTAAATATGGCTACTACCATTCATATGTAAATGTTTATGATATTTTGTAATTTTATTCTAACAAATCCCACTACATGTTCAATAGAGCCATCTTGCATGCATCTTTATGCATGGAGTATAATTATCAATGACGGAAAAGAAAGTTAAACCTGTTGCAAGGTGTGAAATGTATGTGTCATGATTAACAAATGTCAGGTAACATATACCTTTTGTGTATAGTTAAATAATTGTAGACTCAAGAAACATGAGAAAGGTGTGATGAAAACACCTGTCGGACGGACAGTTTGATTGCAATAGATAGCCACCACTTCTAGATAGTGGTTTAATTATTTCAACCAGAATATTGATTAAATTGTCAATCATTAAAGCGTATAAAATATGTATATATATAAAAATGAGGAAAACGTTTAAAACAGTCAAGATAAACCTTAAAAATGTAATCAAGTTTTTCACCTTTCATCAGTAATTCTCCGACTTGAATTTGTATCATAAACAAAATAGATGCATTTTGAACAACATGAATTATAAAGCGAGTTACTCTTCTTTTAAACAGGGATTTTTTAAGTCTCTTTTTGTCTTTACTGTACTTTTAAAATTGTGCTAGAGATACCATAAGATAATTTTGGTACAAAAATCTTATAATTAGTGTGTTAGGCATGTGGTTTGTATTAGTGTGTTAGGCATGTGGTTTGTATTTTGTATTAGTGTGTAAGACATGTGGTTTGTATTAGTGTGTAAGACATGTTGTTTGTATTTTGTATTACTGTGTAAGACATGTGGTTTGTATTAGTGTGTAAGACATGTGGTTTGTATTAGTGTGTAAGACATGTTGTTTGTATTTTGTATTACTGTGTAAGACATGTGGTTTGTATTAGTGTGTAAGACATGTGGTTTGTATTAGTGTGTAAGACATGTGGTTTGTATAAGTGTGTTAGGCATGTGGTTTGTATTAGTGTGTAAGACATGTGGTTTGTAGACTCAACATGCTCAAGACTCATCAGTGGCCCTCAAATCAATAATCTAGCATTCATTGCTCTAAATTCCATTTCACTGCAGTACAACTTCTTGGACAAAAATTATATTTGATGTAAATCATTGAATGTCAAGGAAAACTTATTTCCTACGATATATTTAAACCTGTGTACCATTCTATCAAGCAATGTTTTGTATAAGGTGGTAACTAGGATAACTGTGTATGAGTCATCAGCTGTTGCTATGACAATGTACAGCTGTTTAATCATAATGACAAAAGCGTCATTGTAATAAGAATGTATATCAGTTGATCCCCAAAGAAATATCTGATGGTAATTTTGGGTAAAAATCAAGTCATTTATCATCTTGATGTATATCCTTGCTTAAAGACTAGTCTATTTTGTATTAAAGTGCTAAAGTTGGTTTAACAAAAAAACTTACGACTAAGATTGATCGTTAAGTCATGAACAATTCAGTATACTTACGACCAATCTTAGTCGTAAGTTTTTTTGTGAAACCGGCTCCAGATATGTTTTCTTTTATCAAACAAGAACCAGAAAATATCAGTTTCTTTCCTTCTTGAGAAATGTAGTACTGTTGATCTTTGACCTTCATTACAGACCTTGAAACATATGACTAGGTCAACCAGAGAATAACATATATTCATTCTTTGTGATATATGAAAGTCATGTGTTGGTTCATGAACATATGACTTCTTGGAAAACTGTGTCCAATATTTGTATTGACACCATCCATTGTTGTATGACATCTGAGGAGTGAAATTATCTGTTTATCCATCGATTAAAAGAAAACATGAGCTATTCTGTGGGGACATTAATAGAAATCTTAAGCTATTCTGTGTGGACATTAATAGAAATCTTAAGCTATTCTGTGTGGACATTAATAGAAATCTTAAGCTATTCTGTGTGGACATTAATAGAAATCTTAAGCTATTCTGTGTGGACATTAATAGAAATCTTAAGCTATTCTGTGTGGACATTAATAGAAATCTTAAGCTATTCTGTGTGGACATAAATAGAAATCTTAAGCTATTCTGTGTGGACATTAATAGAAATCTTAAGCTATTCTGTGTGGACATTAGTAGAAATCTTAAGCTATTCTGTGTGGACATTAGTAGAAATCTTAAGCTATTCTGTGTGGACATTTACAGAAATCTTAAGCTATTCTGTGTGGACATTAATAGAAATCTTAAGCTATTCTGTGTGGACATTAATAGAAATCTTAAGCTATTCTGTGTGGACATTAATAGAAATCTTAAGCTATTCTGTGTGGACATTAATAGAAATCTTAAGCTATTCTGTGTGGACATTAATAGAAATCTTAAGCTATTCTGTGTGGATATTAATAGAAATCTTAAGCTATTCTGTGTGGACATTAATAGAAATCTTAAGCTATTCTGTGTGGACATTAGTAGAAATCTTAAGCTATTCTGTGTGGACATTAATAGAAATCTTAAGCTATTCTGTGTGGACATTAATAGAAATCTTAAGCTATCTCACCTTTCGTGATTTCTTAATCATTGGCTGTGGTTTAAGCTCATCTTCTGAAAATTTTCTTGCTTTTGGATCAAATGTTTCTTCTCCTAAAATCATACAACATATACATGTATATTAAAAGTTATTGAAATTGATTTTTGTAAACAGCTCAAATCTATACACATATTAATTTTGTACTTAGTAACTGATAATATTGATAATATTGCTTCACATGTAAAACATGTCAAAACTTAAAGTTATAAAGCTGAAAACCGTACTTTTATTGTATCATATGAACGTTATCAAGTCATGCACAAAATATTTAAGTTAGTATGATGTTTTATATAGTATGATGTTTTTAGAGATGTTGAATGGACAAAGTAAAAGACAATTAAAATACATTGATATCAAATTCTTATCCATTTTTGTCACAAAATTTACAAATGCAACAGTTCATTTCTCACATCCTTAAAACATGTTAAATATAAATATGTTCTAAAAATGTACATTATAAAAAAGGGTTCACTTATTTTGAACTCTATAAATGATAAATTTACAAAGTTGACAGGAGTGGGATGCCAACAGTAGACAAGGAGAAATTACAAAATCTTAAGTTAAATTTGAGTTAACAGGAGTGGGATGCCCACGGTGGAAAAGGGGAAAATACAAATTTGAAGTTAAATTTGAGTTGACAGAAGTGGGATGCCCACAGTGGAAAAGGCAAATTTACAAAATCTAATGTTAAATTTGAGTTAACAGGAGTGGGATGCCCATTGATGAAAAGGGGAAATTACAAAATATATAAAGTTAAACTGAGTTGACAGGAGTGGGATTCCTACAGTAGAAAAGGAGAAAATACAAAATCTAAAGTTAAATTTAAGTTGACAGGAGTGGAAATCCTACGCTTTAAAAGGGAAATTACAAAATCTAATGTTACATTTTAAATTATGATTGGGATGCCAACAGTGGAAAAGGGGAAATAACAAAATCTAAAGTTAAATTTGAGTTGACAGGAGTGGGATGCCCACGGCGGAAAAGGGGAAATTACAAAATCTAAAGTTAAATTTCAGCTGACAGGAGTGGGACTCCTACGTTTGAAAAGGGGAAATCACAAATTTTAATGTTAAATTTTAAATTACATGAGTGGGATGCCCAAAGTGGACAATGAGAAATAAAATTTTATGTTAAATTTGGGTTGACAGGAGTAGGATGCCCACAGTGGAAAAGGGGAAATTACAAAATATATACATGTAATATTAAATTTAAGTTGACAGGACTGGGATGCCCACAGTTGAAAAGATGAAATAACAAAATCTAAAGTTAAATTTGAGCCGACAGGAGTGGGATTCCTACAGCAGAAAAGAGGAAATTACAAAATCTAAAGTTAAATTTAAGTTGACAGGAGTAGGACTCCTATGTTTGAAAAGGGGGAATTACAAAATCTAATGTTAAATTTTAAATTACATGAGTGGGATGCCCAAACTGGACAATGAGAAATTAAAATCTTATGTTAAATTTGGGTTGACAGGAGTGGGATGCCCACAGTGGAAAAGGGGAAATTACAAAATATATAAAGTTATATTGAGTTGACAGGTTAAGGGGTGTCCTTGGTGGAAAAGGGAAATTTCAGGACACAAGTGGGATGCCGATTGTGGAAAGGAGAAATTACAAAAATCTACCATCTTGTAATCATGGTAAGTCTTAGAAAAATTGTCAATAGTCAATTTGCCAATTCATTTATTGACCCTGCAATTAGAGATCCATTTTTACAAGTTGTTTCCATTAGGATGGGCATAATTTTTCTTTGAAAATTAATAGCTAACTGAAAGAGCAAATTCATCAATACGGTGACTGTAATGTAGTTACTTTGATCCACTTCATTTGAACTTCGGTTGATATTTGTCTCATTGGCCATCATACCACATATCCTTATTTTTGTATAATGTCACATTATGTGCTACTGATATTAAGTTATTTTTCAATTAAAACGCCATATACATGTATCACTATCATTTCATTATGAATGAGCAGCAGCCCATTTTGTCCAGTTTAAAACCAGTCTACATTTGGCAAATGGAAACAACAAGTGTTAAAAGTCTGTACTAACAGAATCAAGTCGGTAATTGGCAAATTGACTATTAATGCCTTTCAATTTTATGTCGTATGGAAGTTTTTGCATATTTATATATCTTAACTTCCTCTTTTTCCAGGCAAAATATTTTGACCAGTATATTGGTCAATAAAATTTTTACCTGGGACATTGACCAATTCTTGTTCCCCCTCATCAACGCTAAAATCTATTTCTACTACAGGGGAACGCCTTTCTTCATTCTGTATGACTACAACATAGGAATATGATCTTGTTAACATAATTTTATAGTCTAATAACGTGCTGTCCTCCAACCAGACAAGATGTCATTTTGCTGAATCATACATTAATTGTATAATTCCACAGAATCAAACGGCATCTTGCTTTGTGAAGTTACTCAATCTAATAGAAACATGCCTCAAAAAGAAACCTTTTTAAATTGATTTTCTAAACCTATGCTTCATTTGTACTTTTTAAAAAGAAAGATGCATGGCTACTTCAGACTGGTAAACATTATGACATCAATTCAAATTAGACATCATGATGATCATTGGTAAATCTATCTTACATTAGACATCATCATGATCATTGGTAAATCTATCTTAGGATATAAATTTTAATAAATACCGGTACATAGAAACATTTATAATAAAAAAAAAAAAAATGCTATGGCGAACAAAAACAAAATCTGGGTTTACAGTTACCCAATCGACCCTATATTTTACCACCAAACCCTGAACTAGGAAAAAAGAATAATTGAGTTATTTTTCTTGGCTTGCAAGTTGTGCATGTGAACAAAATTCCTCCATTTCATAATCCATATAAAAAGATTGAGCACTTCTGATAATAAATATTTTTATCTCAAGTCAAAGGTTTTGTTGTTACTATATTTATTAGATTTATGAATTCTTCTTTCAACTATTAAGGTACAAAATGTATGGTAAACATTGCCAAATGTAATTGTAGGATCACTTTTAACCCTCAAAAAGATAAACAAATAAAACTGTGAGCTACTGCTCACTGCTGATACCCCCGCCGAAATATTTCGGTAAACAGGAAGTTGTTGAGTGATGAATCTGAAAACGCATCACACTGTGTAACGTAGTTATATAAACCCTGAAACCAAATTTCAGAAATCCTTGTCAAGTAGTTCGAGAGAAAAATGGGACGAAAATATTCATGGGACGGACGGATGGACTGACGGAGGTAAAACAGTATACCCCCCCTTTTTTAAAGCGGGGGTATAAATAAAAAATAAAATAAAAGTGATACCCTAACCAACCCCTTTTTCACAGAATAACTGTAAACACTAGTGTTTCATTTTTGGCCGTAAAAAATCTTTTAGATAACTCAGTCATACATGTTTATCAGCTGTTAAAGACCATTGTCTAAAGACCATTGTCATCCACAAAGACACCTAATTAGTAAATCAATACTACATATGTACATGAATGTACTAGATGGTTTCTTTTTCAGACATTGTCATCATTTGACAATAATGAAAGGATCATTTAAATTAATTTATTTAGTTTTGTCTTTGATGGTAATCCTTCATTATTGCTAGCTAAATCAAAAGTGAAAGCTAAAACAATCCAACTTAGATTTAAAAGATTTGGTCAATATAAACAAATCTGTATGCTAATCAATACATTAATTAAAAGTAACTTTGTTCATTTTAAATTGCAAAATGTGCAAATACGACATGTACAAAAAAAATCCATATTTACAATAAACTAAAATAAACACATGTACATGTATGTATATATAGATATGTATGTATTTTGAGCTTTCTATATCTTTCAACTCTATGGACTGTTTTAGCTACAGATAATCAATGTAGGAAAGAGTAAAGGTTCAGTATAAGACTGACCTGGTACCGTTGATAAGATCACATCTTGTTCGGCGACATTGAATTCAATGTTTATATCTAACGCACTTTCTACAACATCTTCCTTTTTTATGGTCTCTGAAATTCACAGCAAATCACGTGTTACTATGGAAACAGATTTATTGATTTAATATTTTGTTTGTTTTCTTCAGCCTGTAGATTTTTAACCATTTATATCAATAAATGTATATATACCTGTATATTATGTGTGAAAAGTACAAATGTCATTGTAGATATGACTATGATAACAATGTTTCTCCTACTGTGGTGTGAGAGACTCTTATATTTCCACTCGTTATTTTTATTTTCGATTTTCAACATTGGACATGTTGGAGTTGTATAGCAACCAATGTTAAAATCTTAAATTCAACTTTTTTAAGTGAAGAAATATTGAAATCCACCATGCAAACAAAAGATGACTATGTTCATCATGTTTCTCTCATATATTTTTTCCAGTCTTTCAATTGTAAAACCTATGATTTATGATGAGATTAAACAACAATGGGACTGTTGTGCCAACAAAGCTAGCCTGTTATCCTAATGATTTAGATTAGCTACCACTTAAAGCAACTGAAGATCAGAGACAAATCACAAATGAATTAAATTAATATCCCTTCTGTTGTCAGTCTGTATTTATCTTAAATACATGTAGTATTACATTTATACATGTATAGCATCCTATATTTTTTGTCACAGTTGGTCATTAAGCATGTTACAAATACACATTACTTATTGTATATCCCGTTTGTCTGTTTCTGACACTTTCAGGGTCTACCGAAATGTATATGTATCAATTTTAAATTCATGTGGACGTTCATGTACATGTTACTTTGTCATTGTGTTTGGAAGTAATTATGTGTACATGTACATGACCTACCCTTTCATACAATATTGATGTGCAAGCATTTTTAAGGAAAGGAGGCAGCAAGCTTTATACCTTATAAGACTGTATGTCAAATGCTAAACTGCAAAATCACATGACCAGATTCATTCAAGATATGTTTTCCTGTCACATGACGTTCACAAATGTTACTAATTTAAATACCTTCTTCAATAGACTCATCTGAATCTGAATCATCTTCTTCTGGACTTTGAATCTCCTTTATGTTGACTGTAGATGTAGGTGAAGAATCTGACTCCTTGGGAGAAGAGAGTTGGCTGTCTTTAGACCTACTGCTACCATTAGAGGCCTCATTGAGGTCTACAGGGATGCCATTCTCAGATAAAAACTCATCTAAGTCCATATACTCTAAACTTATGTCCCCATCAGTATAGTCAGCACTACTCCATAAGTTTGGACCCAGAAATGCTGACGTTGGGTCAAATGTAGGTGACATACTTCCCTTCTCCTTTGGCTTGAGACTTCCTCCATCTGAAAATACAATTTTGTATTACATGTAACATGACTAACGTACAAAATTTTTGTTATTACAAGTACAAAACAATGTAATTCAAATCAAAGTTGAACTACATTGTGATGCCAAATTTGATAACTGATGAACTGTAGCACATATTTGTTTAATTTATTATTATCCATGCAGTTTAACAGTCCTGACCTTATCATACTGTTTATCAGTGACCATTGTAAGTATGTGTGTACTTATATTACGACTGACATGATAGATAGTACATGTATATTACTTATATTTGGACTGTCCTAAGGGGGGATTGGACATAGGTAGTAACATCATGTACAGACAATAAAAAAAGTCCTGAAGTTGAAACATTCACCAAATTGATATTCTAAAAGATAATAAACTGCTTCGCTGAGCGCAGCTGGATATGCCCACAGAGGTCCAACCCTGAACAGTTGGGGCAAAAATGGACACAATGTTCAAGCTTGATATATATACAGGTCTGAATTTGGATTGTAATTAAATATTTGACATATTATAGGTTTCTGAACAAATGTAGTCAAAGAACTTGAAATTGGTTACATGTCTTTGCGGCAGAATTTTGTTATCTTTTGACGCAGCTTTAATATTTAGTGGATGTATCTTTATACCGATAAGAAAATGTGGGGCACGTCACGATTACTGATGATTAAGCTTTTACTTTGTAATCAATGCCAAATTATTACATCATGAAATTTTTTTGGTGAGAAGATTGTAATTTCTTGATTTATTCGCATTGTATATATCCAAATAAAATTTCTTTTAATTTGCGTACGCGGGTCTCGTGAGCACTCTAACGTGTACAAGTCATTTCAGTTTTTTTTATAAAATCTACATCAAAGGTATCAGCAATGTCTTGAACTAGTTTGAAATGCAAAGCTGATCAGTTATTTTTAAAAAGAGTTATGTACCTTTAAAAATTTATTATAGGGAAAATTGCATTGTAAGTTCTGGCATGTCAGAACATGTTAAACTTTACAAAGTTCTATTTGGAAGGCAGATACTTTTTAACCAATTATCCCACTGTCTTAAAGAGTTCAAGGAATTAACTTCAAATAAATAACTCTCTTCAAGCATGTCAAGTTCAAATATTGGTGCTTGAAGACAAACCAAACCGAACTGAAGTTCTTCTCAAAACAATGACATTAATATTAATGTTTCATTTTAGCTGTCAAAAAGTCTAATAATATAGAAAAGGGTGCTTCATGTGTTCAAGCTAAGCACTATTAGCATTTTAACAAGAAACATGTGTCCATCCTGTGCATTTGTGTACAATGAAGCCAGCATCACACACACACAATCATGTAATCAGTAAAGACTCACTAGAGCTTAAACTTTCTTTATTCTCTGTTTCAGGAGAGATACAGTTACGTACTAGTATCAACATGTAATTCGACAAAATTTAGTTTGACAATATGTTCATTACAGTACTAGTAATGAAATTCATACTCAGTTTTTTTAGTTATGCAAAACATGAGGTCCGCGTCTCTATCATTCTATGTTTTGTTTGGGTGAATACATCGTACTTTTTTAACTAATGCATGTAAACCAACCTACCTCGATAACTTGCATTTACTGTTCTTGATCAGTCGATGGACAAGGCCTTTTGTTCTAAACACAGTTTTAGTATTAATGCCATCAACTTTATTCAATTATTCGATGTCGGACTATAAGGGTGTCGGACTATTGGGGTGTCAGACCAATGGGGTGTCGGAATGATGGGGTTTTGAACCAATGGTGTTTCGGACTAATGGGGTGTCGGAATATCGGGGCTGCCCCATTCATAAGAGCTGATGATTCACAAAACCCATAAGAACTGCTGATCCACAGAACTCATAAGAGCTGCTGATCCACAGAACCGATATGAGCTGCTGTTCCACAGATTCCATAAGAACTGCTGATCCACCAAACCCATAAGAACTGCTGCTCCAGCTGAACCCATAATATCCACAGACCCCTAAAGAGTAGTTTGATCCACAGAATTGTTAGAGCTGCCGATCTACAGAACCCATAAGAGTTGCTGATCCACATAACTCATTAGAGGTGATGATTCACATTACTCAAAAGAGCTGTTTATACACAGAAGTCATAAAAGCTGCTGTTCCACAGAACTCAAATGAGCTGCTGCTATACAGAAACCATAAGAGCTATACTAATCCACAGAACCATAATAGATGCTAATCCACACAACCCTTAGAGCTACAGAACCCATAAGAGCTGCTTATCCTCAGTCTAATATCAATGAATAAGTTTAATTTCAATCTGTAGAATTTATCATTCACTGTATTTGTTCATATCATCTTACAAGAAACTGCTTCGCTGAGCGCAGCTAGATACGCCCGCAGAGGTCCAACCCTGAACAGTTGGGGCAAAAATGGACACAATATTCAAGCTTGATTCAGGTCTGAATTTGGATTGTAATTAAATATATGACATATTATAGGTTTCTGAATAAATGTAGTCAAAGATCTTGAAATTGGTTATATGAATTGAATTTATATTCAATTAAAGATTTCTTGCTGTTGTGCAATTCTTAGTAAATCTGTTGTCAGACTATATATATATATAAACAAATAAAGTTCAATTAATTCTCAATGTCATATTAGAGATTTATGAAAATAAAAAGGGAGCTTACATCAATAGATATAAACAGTTCACCAAAGTTTCATGAGAATTGGTGACAGCATTTTTGAGTTATTGTCCGAAAACTGGAAAATCACCCCTTTTTTATTGAATAAAACCCCATAACTCAGAAATGTAAAATGTAAAATTTATAAAATTCTAAAGGGAGCTTACATCAATACATACAAACAATTCACCAAAGTTTCATAAGAATTGCTGAAAGCATTTTTGAGTTTTTTCCCGAAAACTGGAAAATCCCCCCTTTTCTTATGATAAAAAAACCCTGTAACTCAGAAACGTAAAATCTAAAATTTATAAAAATCGAAAGGGAGCTCATGTCAATAGATATAAACAATTCACCATAATTTCTTGCAAGTTAGTGAAAGCATTCTTGACTTATTGTCCGAAAACTGGAAAATCCTCCTTTTTTTAATGAATAAAACCCCATAACTCGGAAACCTATAATCTAAATTTTATAAAAAACGAAAGGGAGCTCAAGTCAATAGATATAAACAATTCACCAAAGTTTGATGCAAATTGGTTAAAGCATTTTTGAGTTAATGTCCGACATGTTGACGACGGACGGACAGACGGACAACGGTATACCATAATACGTCCCGTAAACGGGCGTATAAAAAATGAGAAAAATGAGAAATTATGTTATTATAAATTAATTTTTCTTATTCTTAGACAAGTTATAATTTCCAAGAACCAGTTGCTTATTTCTTATTATAATGATCATAAGGTTATTTTGATATCAGTTTTTTTTAGGTCAAAATTCAACTTTATGATTTGCTCTGAATTTCCTTCTGGCACCTCATGAAATACGGAGATATTTCTCCTTTCTCTACGTTAAAATTCTAATGTTTGAAGTAAAGAAATATTGGATCACTCGTGATGCATGTACATGTACAAATGTATAAGATACACTTTAGGGCATAAGCCTGAATGGTTTGCTCTGAATTTCCTTCTGGCACCTCATGAAATACGGAGATATTTCTCCTCTCTCTACGTTAAAATTCTAATGTCTGAAGTAGAGAAATATTGGATCACTCGTGATGCATGTACATGTACAAATGTATTAGATACACTTTAGGGCATAAGCCTGAATGGGTGTATCAAGTTTACTATGGTCAATGCAGAATGATAGTTTTAATAATTTAGGAGGGGGTCTTTCAGCAATTTGATCATATATTATTGAAAAGCATGATAAATGCAGTGTATCCAATTTCATTTAACACATCTTAGTGTAAGTATATACAATGAATATGAAAATGCAAAATAAAAAACTCAACTTGACACATTTTAATTAGTAGAAAATATAAATTAATGTGCATAATCTTTGGAATAAATATTTTTTGTAATTTGTTTCATTCCAAAACTTACAATTTTACAAGTTGTACATGTACATTTGTATTTAATAATTAAATAAATGATGAATGTGTCCATGGGACACGGATGATGGCCCCGCTTGCATTTAACGTTATAAAGGGACATAACTCAAGAACTGTAAAAGTGACGCTACCCAAATTTGTACTTGATCTGATTTTTGTGGTAATAAGTATTGTGTATACAGTTTCATAACATTTGGTTGAGGCAAACTGAAGTTAGAGAATGAAAACGAAAAATTCAACAATTTTTCCATTTGCAAAGGGGTATAACTCTAGAACCGTAAAAGTGACGCCACCAAAATTCAAACTTGATCTGTGTTTTGTGGTAATAAGCATTGTGTATAAGTTTCATAACATTTGCTTGAGACAAACTAAAGTTAAGAGAATGGAAACGAAAAATTCAGCTATTTTATATCTGTAAAGGGGCATAACTCTAGAACGGTAAAAGTGATGCCACCCAAATTCAAACTTGACCTGCGTTTTGTGTTAATAAGTATGGTGTATAAGTTTCATAACATTTGGTTGAGGCAAACTGAAGTGAGAGAACAGAAACCAATTTTGAGACGTATGGATGGACAAGGGTAAAACTTAATGCCCCCTCCGCTATGGCGGGGGCATAAAAAATTTGTAAGGGTTCCGTGAAACCCAGTGTCTTGCCTACTTTTGCTGTTCTCTATGTTTTCAGTGTGCTAGGGGAATACACATAATAGATTACAGTTAACGAAATAAAACGTTTGAAATGCATGAAAAAAATTATGCTTGTAAAAAATGAATACAGTATAAAATCAAATCTATAGATTTATTAAAGAGTTGAAACATAAATTTATTGAACAAATGATATAGAAGATAATTTTCACATTGCTTGATGATTTATCCCTTAATTCAAAAGTCGCAGGCTCAACAAAAATGGGGAAAAATTATAAAAAAATTTTCCTCTAGATACTATCTTTTGATTGTTAAAGAAGCTTCTGTCCAAGTTTGGTAAAAATCCAGGATGGTTCATGAATCTAATAAATGTTTTAAAAACTTCAACTGCAGACTGTATGTAATATTACATTTGTAACTGGAAGAAAAACTAAGTCCATTTATAAGTAATATACGGAAAAACTGGAAATAAATTTAAAAAAAAAATTTCCTTCTAGATACTAAGCTTTTGATCATAAACAAGCTTCTGTCCAAGTTTGGTACAAATCCAGGATAGTTTAAGAAAGTTATTTAAATTTTTAAAACTTGAACCACAGAGTGAATGTAATGTTAACTGGCAGAAAAACTAAGTCCATTTATAAGTAAAATACGGATAAACAGGATTTATTTTTTTACTAAATTTACTTCTGGATACTATCTTATGATCATAGACAAGCTTCTGTCCAAGTTTGGTAGAAATCCAGGATAGTTTAAGAAAGTTATTAAAATTTCAAAAACTTTAACCACAGAGTGAATATTTGTGGACGCTGCCACGACGAAATGTAGGATCGCTATGTCTCGCTGTTGCGATGAAAGTCGCAGGCTCAACAAAAATTCTTTACTGATAAAAACAGAATATATATGTTAAACGAAATAGTAGATAAATGCCTTTTTATTGATATCAACAGACATGACAGATATCATTGTAATACTTTAAAGGGATACTGGTAATAAAAACCTCCATATATAATACATATAGAGTTAAATGTCCCCATTCAGAATTATCTGAAGTTGGGAATTTTTTAGTTTTACGGAGTGACACCCAGAAATGAATCCAGGAGTTTAATAATAAATTCTGTGTGTGTGTACTGTATGTTAGACGTGTTTTGGATTGAGGATGGAATCCTGAGGGTGTTTATCAGACACATCTTATCTCAGGGCTGTGTCCTTCAATAAGATTGTAGCTGACAAACATGTCTCGCTTGAAAAACCATCCATATCATCAAGGATTTGTATCATATCTATATTAAATTACATTTCTGGTTTAAATAAAAGAACACTCACAATATATCATTTATCTCCAAAAATTTTAACAATATTGTGTATACCAGTGTGATCACAAAATACAACAGATCTCTACCCAGTTATATTTCCCCAAATCTAATGGTTTTTTGTTGCCAATTAAATTTATATCATTGAGACATGAATGTATTCAAAAATTCTTTGAGCGAGCGATATTTGTCTGTTTAATGTATTTCGATAGATACAATTGTGTTGCAAGCTATATATATTGATTTAAAAATATACATATGTACAATACGTCCTTTTAAGTTTTTCTTGTAGAATCGCAAAAAAACTGTTATACAACACATAATGTGACCTTCGCCTCTGAAATTGATTTACTCTTACCTTTATTAAATTGTGGCGGATTTTGGAGAACTGGATTTTCTAGAAGTTCCTTAAGACTGTAGCTTGTGTGTCCTAATCCAAAAAGTGACATCTTTCTATCTTTTCAAATCTAAAACTGTGAAATCCAAATGTTAGAATACTTGTTTACGTTAGCCGACCACACACATTTGACACCATGCAATAAAATGACTTTAGCCAATCACAAGACGGGCACTTGTCAATAACTACTGGTTACCTGTATATGAAAACGAATTTGATTAGAGCGAAGGGTAAAAGGAAAATGGATAGATTTAATACGGTACGGATCGGACTGAGGATTATTTGCTCCTGACAATATTGACGTATTTCATTTTTCAATAAGTCACTGATACACTTTCTATATATATCATTAAGACAAAAGTTTGTTTCCTTCTAGATTTCTTTCGAACGTTTTGTGTCGTTGGGTTGCAGTCTCATTGACATCTCCTTTTATTCATGAATACAAGGACGTATAACCAGAGACATACATATATACACATATAATTGTTAAGGGGGTTAATGATTTATATGTACTAAGAAATTTCCTAGCTGACAAGAAAAACTAATTATGTAATACAAATTAGTGATTATTTTCTATTTTTCATATATATTTGTTATGCTTTATGATAACAATAGCATTAAGAATATTGTATTTTTACTTTCAAATTTGCAAAAGTATCACCTCCTCCAATATAACTAAATATACGAGATACTTATATAATATGAATGTTGCTTAATTGTTTGTAAATATTGTCATGTTTGTCTTGGTAAAAAAAAAAACAATATTCGGATGTTACACCAATAAAATGATTTGATTTGATTTCATTGATTACACAGAGATTGGCAACTCTGAAACTCGAGCTCTGAAATCACGTTAATTCACGCGGCCCGGAGTATATATGTCTCTGCGTATAACTATAAATCTACGTCCTCGATGAATATAAATAATATTTAATCGGGCCTTAGAAAGTTTTTTTTATCTGTAAATTACGTTAGTACCACGTTTTAGAAGGCAACAATTAAATTTTATCACATTTCAAAAATCAAAACCGAAGACCCCGTATCTTGGCTTGGTATAGATATAGCATTCAAACGCGACAACAACATAAAAGACATCGTAGTGCACAAGAAGCACAATTTATTATTTTATAAACAAACCAATGGCTGTGGACCATGCCGCGGGAAAAATTGTGCATTATGCTCACACATTAATGAGACCAAGGTATTTTGTGCGGATAACATCGGATAAGAATATACCATTCAGGGACAAATAAACTGTAAAACCGTGGGCGTAGTATATGCAATTGCATTTTTATTCTAGTTAGAAGTCTCTAATTTTCCTCGTTTTAAAATAGAATTCCATGAATTTTACAATAATTTATACATATATAAGGACATATTGGACACGATTTTTTAGTTCAATTTGTTGAGTCAGAATATATACATTTTTCACTATATATGATAACTTTATCGATTATCTGAGCTCTCGAATATTTTTTTTATATAGAATAGATTAGAATATACTAGTTTTATTCACCAAATTAGAGCCTCGGGAGGGCATTGAACACATTAACAATATATACTATGATTGTTTAATAACCTTATGCAACTGTCGCAGGAAGGCGTCAAAGAAAAAAAATAAAATAGCCTTTCAATTTAAAGACGTCATAATTATTTAGACTAAACTAGAACCAATATATTTTTCAGTATTTTGTATCATGTATTGAAAACTCCAAGTTTACAAGGAATATTTACTGTATCTTACAATTTCAAGGACCATTCGTAAACAATATTTATTTCCAGAATATTTTTACCGTGAGATGTAAGCAACCATCCATGCACGACGTGGTAAGTGACCGCCTCGCATATTTGTGGTGTCCAAATCTGATCAATTCTATAAATACTTCACGTTCTTCAACATGTGTTTATCTCAGCCCATAAAGGTTATCGAATCTATTTTAAAACACCCGATGTCACGGGATTATGAACTCTTACTATACAAAGCAGCGAACGAACAGGAAAGATAGTCCTGTGCGATTCAGTATCTAGGCTTTACAATAAATACAAACATATCTTTATAAATCGTACTCTAAAAGTTTTAAAACTTTGTGCTCGTTCTAATAAATTGTTCATTGCATCTTTTAAAATTTTAATCGAATCACGTGAATCGATATGTCCCACGTTATTCAACACGTTTACGACTCACGTGGTATAGGTACTGTTGTACTCTACAAAGCGTCCATGTCCGTGTAATAAAAATATTAAAGTTGATTAACAGTACACTGACCGCAGAAAATAAATTCGCCGACAATCCCGGATTTCCCTCTGTTTAAATAACATGCACCCACAGGCTCGTGCAATCTAATATTTTATTCATCAATACGGCTGCACCGACCATTCATCTTTGGGGAGGGACATGTTTTTTTGTTTTTTTTTTCAATCATTTTTAATAATCAAAATCGATAACATACATATATATACAGAAACATTTTTTTTTGTAACTCTATGAAATAATTTCCCCCCTTGTTTTCAATGGAAATAAACTTTTTTCGCTTCTCATCTGATTGGGAGAGAAAAAAATCAAGAAAGAAAAACAGATTTCTTCAGTTATAATATTGGTTTGGTTTATTGGAATCAGAAAAATAAAAAATAATAAAAGTGTGATAATTCACGACCTTTGCATTTTAAGTTCTTGACAAGTTAGAATATTATACAATTACTGTCCTTTGATGTGGTAAATATTATTCACCTATTGACTGGTTATGAGGGTAATAGCAAGTTTGTTGTCCCTGAGATACCAACTATTGCTCGAGGCGAAGTTTATTTATTTTGTATTTACATTGTATCATAGATCAAATTTATTTGTTCAGTGTATGTTCACTGGTGTTAATATGTCCTTTGATTGAGTTAAGCTATTTCAGTTGATATATATTTTATAGTGTGTCTTTCTATGTTGCCAGTGATGTTACACTATTGTTTCAGAAAAAGGGTGAAGGTTTGGTACCATTAAAACGTTTAAACCCGCTGCATTTGTTTGAACCTGTCTTAAGTCAGAAATCTGATGTTCAGTAGTTGTCGTTTTTTGATGTGGTTCATAAGTGTTTCTCGTTTCTCGTTTTTTGTATGGATTAGACCGTTGGTTTTCCCGTTTGAATGGTTTTACACTTTAGTAATTTTTGGGGCCCTTTATAGCTTACTGTTCGGTGTGAGCCAAGGCTCCGTGTTGAAGACCGTACTTTGACCTATAATGGTTTACTTTTATAAATTTTGACTTGGATGGAGAGTTGTCTCATTGGCACTCATACCACATCTTCTTATATCTATTAAGTGTTTTATTATATCGAACAGACGAACTTTCTAAAAAGACTACATACATCACTTCGAAAAAAACAAATAGTCACATAAACATGATAAACATGCACAAGATGAACTATCCGATGGGTTTTTTTTTTGCCCGTGTGGTATTTGTCAATATTTTATTTACTGTAATCAAGACGAGGAATCCTTGTGTAAAAATTCTGGTGCATATAATAAACGCTAGCTATAACGAATATATTACCGTACACCAAAGCAATCCCAGATTATGAAGACGACGACAGACCCATACCATACATTTGTTATGTTTTAGTTATTAAAATATGTCGCGTAGATTTTCTCTTTCTTTTTTAATTGCTTTTGTTAAGTAATATATTAATTTGAAATAACGATGACAGACACATACATAATATGCCGTTTACGATATTTCAGAGTATAACATTGCCAAGCAAAATAGTCAATGACGTCATTGTTGTCCAATGAAAAATTAGTATGAAAAAGTACGGGAAATATGTTGATAAGACTATTGACCGGGGTAATAGCTAGTCTTTGAAACTAGTGACTGCCACATTTTCTGTGGAATGAAATAGCACAAATATTTAATTCTTTTTTATATAGAAAAAACATTCTGAGATATAATAAAATCATTTATAATGGTTTACATTTATAAATTGTGACTTGGATGGAAAGTTGTCTCATTGGCACTCATACCACATCTTTTTATATCTATTAATTGTTTAAAACTAGAATAAAACTTGAACAGACTGTAGTTTTTGAAATGGAATATCTGGGACCAGTATATATTTTCTTTCATTGGGGAACCTAGAAGGAAATATTTGAATTTTTCTTTATAAAGTTGCAGGTCCCCACCTTGAAAAAAAACACAATACATTCAAAAACCTCTTTCAAAGACATTATAATTTCACACACACACATACACACATTTTTAATCAACTTTCATCAAAATCAATAACATATGCCTATACAGAGATACAGAAACAAGATTTTTTTTATACTCAATGAAATAATTTTATATGCTCGATCATGAGTTTTTCAATGAATCTTGTAAGGAAACAGTTATTTTTTACAACCACTGGGTCGATGCCACTGCTTGTGGGGGTTTACTCACCGAGGGACCACCAGCCCAGCACTCCTGTGTGACATGAATTACCATTGATATACTCATATTTATGAATTAATTAACTGTTTACAAAACTTTGGTCGAATTGATCGAAATACTAAGGATTTTCTACCCTAGCTGTATTTGGCAAAACAGTTCGGAATTATGGGACCTCAATGCTATTCATCCTCGTACTTTATTTGGCCTTTTAATTTTTCGAGCGTCACTGAAGAGTCTTTTGTAGACGAAACGGGCGTCTGGAGTACAAAATTATAAATCTGTTATATATTTCTGAGTTGTTTTTGCTTTAAATAATAAAAAAAAATCCCTTATAATACCGCGGACATATATCCAAGGAACTGACCTTAGATAATTCTTATATAAACAGCAACTGTTTCGTTAACTATAGATTCGGATATCTGTTTCACATGGGAATCTTTGAGACGTTACTCACGGTGTTTTAAAAGGTAGATTCACTGTATACCGCCATCTTGGATTGTACAATAGCAGTACATAATCAGTCTAGTTCTTTGCCTAAATTTGCAAATTGTGAGACATGTTTGCAATTTATGTGCAAGACTGTTTATTTATATACAGAAAAATAAGTGATTTATTGCATTATCCAAAATGTTTAAACAAATCCCAAATATTTGTGTTTTTAAAATCAATTTTTAAACTTAACCATTTAAGGGGAGATAACTCTTATAGTAAAAGTTTTTTACTGGAATGATAGTGAAATTTTCATTTTTAACTT